TACATGGCATCGGACCTGGATACCTGAGAGACCGCCTCCTCTGATTACCTCTCTCAGACCAATTAGATCGCACAGGTTAGGTCTCCTCCGGATTCCATCTGCCAGCCAATGTTGGCTGGCGACACCCCGGGGGAGAGCCTTCTCTTCTTTCAGCTCCGGCCCTCTGGAACGAGCTCCCTGTTGAGATCCGGACCCTTACTACCCTCCCGGCCTTCCGCAAAGCCACCAAGTCCTGGCTGTTCCAGCAGGCTGGGGGGGGGGGGGGGCTGAGAAGCATTTACCTCCACGGAAATTGTGAATGTTGGTTTTGTTTTTAATATGTTGTCTTTGTCTCGTTTTCCCCCTTTCCCTTGTCTTTTGTGAGCCGCCCGGAGTCCTCCAGGAGTGGGCGGTATACAAGACAAATAAATAAATAAATAATAAGATTTTGAACTGGCACTAAATGGGATATTTATTAATTTGTGTCGATTATCCCTACCACGATCCAAAGGGATTCTAGGTGCTTTACAGATAATCAAAAAAAATTTTTTTTTAAAGTGAAGCTAGCATAATTCGTAAGCATCATTTATGGTCTTGGAATTTGCTTATGATGTTGTGTCATATTGAAGGATGTTTAAACCCAAGAGTTTTCATGCCTCCAAGTGTATTTAGTGCAGTGCCATACTTTAGAACAGTATTGCTACTTTAAAGCACGTAATGTAAATTTAGACCTAGCTATTCGGTGTCTAAAAAGGATAGTAATTGTATTAGGAAGGAACAAATAACAAGAGCATTAGACAACTTAGAAAGCACTATTCATCACAGTATTGGCTTAATGTAAAATATCCTTCCTATGTTTTACTGTTCTATATGCAGCACGATTTTAATCACATATTAGCAGAGTGCCTTCAGATGCTAGCTGTAAACAACTTGCAAGATAATTGCTAAATTTGTTAAAATAGATTTTAAATGGAACCTGCCTTTGAATGCAGCTAGGGCCAAATGTATAATTATCTACTGAGCTTTGATTTTTTTTCTCTCTCCATAGTATCTCATTAAGGTTAATGAAATCAAGACGAAAAAGGGTGTGGACCTTTTACAAAATCTTATTAAGTATTATCATGCACAATGCAAGTGAGTATACTTTTTTCCAGTTCTTCATCTGCAATGTGTTTTTTTTTTTTTTAATATAGAAAGCTTTTTCTCTTCAGGGATGACATCACCTGCTTTTTATTGAGATTTCTCGATTTAAAAAAATTAAAAAAATTGAATGCCCTTTGTTCAAAGTTGCAGATATTGAATTCCTATTGTTTTCTGCATAGAAGGTTTGACTTGATTATTCTTCCACTGTCATACACACTGGTTTGAAAAATGAGTCAAGAGGTGACATGATGTAATCTAGAAAGAGACGAAAAAAGCTGCCTTGAATGTAAGATATAATTCACATTGAAGGAAATGTGCTATTGCTTGGCCTGTACTTGTTAAGTGAATCATGCTGTCATTAAATGAATCTGACTTCCCCTTTGACTTTTCTTGTCGGAAGGTTGAAAATGTGATCAACTGAAATAATCATTAATAGATGCCAATTGCCAAGCGCCTAAATTTTGATCACTTGACCATTGGGATGCTGTGAAAACTGGCCATAAGTCACTAAACCAATGGTTGCAGGTTGAGGACTACCTTTAATCAAATTTATATGGCTACCCATCTCACACAAAGTAACTCTGGGTGGTTTACAACAATCAGATTAAAAAGAGCACACATACACACACAGTCATAAAAAAAAATTAAATTCAGTATTAAAAACAAAATATTGTAAGCATCTAGAAAACCCACATAGAGAACGAGTATTTTCACCTCCGAAATAGAGCCATCTATAGATATCTCTGGTTGCCTGTTGACATGGGTGCGTGTGGAATGGGGCTAACCTACCGTATTTTTCAGAGTACAAGATGCACCTTCCCCCCCCTAAAAAAGCGTTGAAATGTTGGTGCAACTTACACACTGATTACAGCCATTTTTGGCCTCTTGAAGCCTTGTCCCTGCATCCCGTTTTTGCGACGGAGGCGTTTTTGCCTTTCCCCAGCCCCCAGATTTCAGCAGGGCTGGGAGAAGGCAAAAATGCCCCCGTTTTTGCAAAAAACGGTCCTTTTTCCGCCTGCTTTTTGCAAAAACGGGGCGCTCTTGCCTTCCCCCAGGCCCTCTGAAGCCCACAGAGTGCTCCTGGGGGCTGGGGAAAGGCAAAAACTTTTTTTTCTTATTTACTTCTTCGAAATCTTGGTGCGTCTTATACTCCAGTGTGTCTTATAGTCCCAAAAATATGGTATGTACTGGGCGGGAAAAACCACTGAAATTTAAAACCAGGTTCCAACATTGCTGATAAATAACATTTTATTTCCATTATAGTTTCTTTCAAGACGGCTTGAAGACAGCTGATAAACTCAAACAGTACATTGAAAAGCTAGCTGCTGATTTATATAATGTAAGTCATCCATAAGGTAGGGCCTATTTGATAATTCCCTGCGGTTGGGTACGCATAGCCAAGAATGAAAAAGTAAGGTAGGGTTCACAAGATTACTTTCACAAGTGGACTAGCTGGCCTTGACAACTTTCAGATTTCTTAAACCAGCTAGACTAGTTTGCTCAGATTGTTAAGAACGAAATGGATTAACAACTGTGACCTCAAGTGGAAGGACATTGTTTCTGCTATGTTATCGTGAGTCCATTCTCCTATATTGCTTGAAAAATAAGCTACACATTTGAATGACCCTCTGGTGGATTGGTACATTAGAGAAATAAATAACCTTGTTATCATTTTAGACACTTCTTGGGCGCTTTTAAGCCAATCTTTCTCAACCTTGGCAACTTTTAAGATGTGCGGACTTCAACTCCCAGAATTCCCTTGCTAAGCTGGCTGCGGAATTCTGGGAGTTGAAGTACACGCATCTTAAAGTTGCCAAGGTTGAGAAACACTACTCTAACCCTATACCTTCTTTGAAACTCCTGTGCCTTGCACTCGTTTGGATATTAAGACATCTTTTCAATGTTATTCGGGAATTTGTTTCAACAATTTTATCTTTTAGTCCAACTATATTTCTAGAAAAAGGATCGATAAGCATAAATTCAGTGGCCATCCAATACTCTTACACGCCTAAAGTTTATGATCAACCCAGGACCGCTGTTCTGAGAGCCTTATGTGTAGGAAGTTTATGTAAAAAGGCTTAATGTTATCATGTTGTTATGTTTTGTAGCGTGAGGAATGCCGTTCTTTGTGGTCAAACCATGGGATCAGTAATTTCTTGAAAGTGACTGTGGTTCTTTTAAAAGAGATTGAATACACTTCCTCAATGTAGCTTGTTTTGAATATATATTGGGGGGGGGAGAAAATCTGCATTCTCAAAACTTCCTCATTATAGTATTCGGAAATTAATGAAGAGAGGGGAAAAGCATATATTTTACTTCCACTGTAGATGATTAAAGTACAAGGCATGAGGCTAGGAACTAGGAGACTCTGAGTTCTAGTTCTGCCCTAAGCATGAAAGCCAGTTGGGTGACTTGGGACCAATCACCAAGAGACTCCGCATTCTAGTCCCACTTTAGGCATAAAAGCCAGCTGGGTGATTTTGGGCCAATCAGCAGAAGTCTATGAATTCCAGGCCCGCCTTAGGCGTGAAAGCTACCTGGGTGACTTTGGGCCAATCACCAGGAGACTGTGAGTTCTAGTCCCACCTAAAACATGAAAGCCAATTGAATGACTTTCGGCCAATCAGCAGGAGTCTGTAAGTTCTAGTCCTGGCTTAGGCATGAAAGCCAGTTGTGTGACCTTGGGCTAGTCACACACACTCGGACAACTTGCCTCACAGGGTTGTTGTTGAGAAAAATAGGAGGAGGGAGTATTAGTCGTGTCTGCTGCCTTGAGTTACTTATATACTAACAAAGGAGGGATAAAAATCTAATATTATACACAGACACAAAGAAACACACTTAAGTATACTTGTGTTGATCCAAATAATGAAGAAATGCGCCTGGGTAACAAATTGTGGATATTTTTGCTCTAGATAAAACAGACACAAGATGAAGAAAAGAAGCAACTCACTGCATTGAGGGACTTGATAAAATCCTCTTTACAACTTGACCAAAAGGAGGTAAGAATCACAAGCAAAACTAGTATCAGTCTCAGTTACTTATATACTAAGAGCCTCAGTGGCGCACTGGTTAGAATGCAGTAACTGAAGGCTCCTTCTGCTGACTGCGGGCTGCCTGCAGTTCGTCAGTTCGATTCTCACCGGCGCAAGGTTGACTCAGCCTTCCGTTCTTCCGAGGCCGGTAAAATGAGGACCCAGATTTTTAGGGGAAATAGGCTGACTCTGTAAACCGCTTAGGGCCGTGATGGCGAACCTATGGCACGCATACCCAAAGTGGCACATGAAGCCATGTTCCCCGGCATGCGCAGCCTTGCCTGTTTGTTTTCCGGATTTCTGGCATGCATGCGCACGTGACGATCAGCTGTCCTTTGTGCGCGCGGCAGTGCTAAAAACTGCTGTGCACCTGCATGCCAGCCAGCTAACTGTTGGGTGCGTGCCAGAACCCAGAAATTTGGCTTTTCCGGAGCACGATGCCTTGACACCCACAGCAGGGCCGAAAACCGGTCTGCGCATGTGCGTCGGCCCGCTGATCGTCTGGCACGCATGCACTCTAGAACCCCGAATTTTGGCTTTTCTGGAGTGTGGCCCCGGCGCACAGACGTGCAAGTTTCCACACGGTTCGCCATCACTGGTTATGGGGTAAGGCCGTAAAGCACTGTGAAGCAGTATCTAAGTCTTAAGTGCTCTTGCTATTGCTGTCAGCAATGGGTTGAATGCCATCAATTCCATTTTACACTTAGTTACAGTCAGCATTTAAAGTGACATAAAAAGATCCTCTAATTGGGTTGTTTGCATTATATTTATTATTTACATTCTATTATAGACTATGTAATTTATATTATTTATATGTATTATTTACATTTTATTATGGACTATGTAATTTATACTATTTATATGTATTATTTACATTCTATTATAGACTATGTAATTTATATTATTTATATGTATTATTTACATTTTATTATGGACTATGTGATTTATACTATTTATATGTATTATTTACATTCTATTATAGACTATGTAATTTATAGTTAGTAGCTCATGGCCAGGGAGTATGGAAAATGAAAGAAAAAATAAAATACCTGAACAGATCCTGGGAAAGATTTCTAATATTATAAGGTCTCCCAATTTATTGCAAGTTACGATCTGCCATTCTTCAGGGATATCACAAGTATGACTCAATCGTGCTGCCCATCACACAAACACCACAGTGCTTCTAACTTATGGTGTATCTCAGCCAGTGGTGGGTTTCAAATTTTTTTAGAACCTCTTCTATAGGCGTGGCCTGCTTCGTGGGAGTGGCTTTCTGGCCATATGATGGGGGGGCGTGACCAACTTGTAAAATGTGGTGAAATTCACTTAACAACGCTCTTGCTTAGCAACAAAATGTTGGCTCAGA